ACGTCTTCAAAACGACTTCTCCTTAGTGTTCCTTAATTTTAAAATGGGTCATCCTTTTCATGTGAGATACATTACGATGTTCATTCCAGAAGTTTTGAGACTTAAAAAAAAAATTATTGATTTCAAAGAAGTACAAAACTTAGATCTCCTTCAAAGTCGGATCCTTTGACTTCAATGCACTTGTACCATTCCAGTCACGGGAAGGCACCATGGAAGTCACCCAAAATAAAAATGTCCGGGACCTTTGTTATAGTCTCCATCATCTTCTCAATGTCTTTAAAACGACTGCACCTGCCCTGACGTTCGCCTTCAGCTTGGAGAACAATCAAAATCACAGGGAGAAAGGTCTGGACTGTAGAGATGATGAGGGACAGTTTTGATATCCATCTCTATCAAAACAAAACTTTATTTCATAGCGAGATTCCAAATTGTCTTCACGTCCTGACTGCATTCTGTAAAATAGCTCTGACAAGCAGTGTTTACTTGGGTGTGTTTGATGAACTGGTACGGCCGTCTCCTTCATCTGGAATAACAAAAGTTGGTAGGTCAGCTTATTAGATGTATCGTAATGATATACTAAAATTACAATAATCTAGGGCAGTTATAAATGCTGCTCTTAAAAACTCTCAAAACATCCGGAACGCACCTCGTAAATATCAATTACACTATGATAAATCTCGATTGACGTAATAAAATCTCAGTCCAGTAAATAAATTAGTGTAAATATAGGCTGTTCCAATAACTTTAACCGATTTTAAATGTGAATTAAGTTTAATCGTCTAATGATATTTTTTTTTCTTTTTCTTTCAGATTTAACAACTTAAGTATTTGGCAGTTTCAACTATGGAAAGACTAACAATCAGACAAAGTGTTAAAGTTATCGAAGCCTCTAGTGATGAAGCCCATTTTCATATTGGTGGATTCCTTAATAAGCAGAATTGTCGCATTTAGTCTGATAAAAATCCAAGGAAGATTATTGAAAAGTCCCTGAATCCACAAAAGGTCGCTGTTTGGTGTCCATTTTTTGCTAGCGGAATAATTGGGCCGAATATTTATAAATTTGAACGTCCATTTTCGTAATAGGCTTCGATAACTTTAACAAGTTGTTTGATTGTTAATCTTTCCATGATTGAAATTGCCAAAGACTTAAGTTGTTAAATATGAAATCATTTGACGCTTAAACTTAATTCACATTTTAAATCTATGCAAGTTATTGGAACACCCTATAATTTTAATAAGCTCAGATATTATGAGGTGAAATTCATATGTAAATCATATAATATATTTTTCTATGTATCGGGTCTCTTCAGGACGTGGGTGATCATGGTATCTATCAGCAATATTTATCTTTTTATTATCCTTTCTCCTCCCTGTTCTTCATTTACACAAGCTCATTTGGTAGGTTACTCGCTGTTTCCCTCTGCTCCTCTTGGTTTCAATATGCCCTGTGAGTGTCAGATTCTCCAATCCCTCTTTCCTCACTACGTGTTCAAAATGTTCAAGGCTCTCTTTCTGATCCCAAGTATAAGCGTCCCTTTTGTTTTCATTTTCTTTTAAAAATTCCTCATCGCTAACATGCTCCGCCCATGGCATTCTCGGTGAACGAAATAAAGGGTTCAGTTCGAAAATCCAATCACGTGAAGAAGGCCGGAGCTTACAACGACAGAAACGTAGTGAATATGGCAACAAAAATGAGGACAACAGCCAGAACAATGTAAATAGAGTAAATAATTACAATACCTCATCTCAGAAATATAGACAGATCAGTTGGTTAATACTAATTTTATTGTGAAAATATTAACTTGCAAAATAAAAATTCTGATAGTGGCTTATATTTTAATAATTGTTATAAATGTAATTAAATGTTCACTTATCTTATCCTTACTCTGATTTTCGCAGAGATTACATCCACCTGTCAGGAAATTTGATTGTACAAATTTGCAGTCAATTCCTTTAACGAGTAGATATTGTCTCAACGAAACTCCGAGTAGGGTTAAGATTAGTAAATATTTAGTTTTTATTTATTATTATTATTATTATTATTATTATTATTATTATTATTATTATTCTATCTCTTGATATTAATTACAAAGATTGCTTGTCATAAAAATCTTATCTTCCAGAAATATCCTAGTCTATTTCTTTCTTTTTTTTTAAGTTATTGTTATAAATCGAAACAGCGTTCATTTAACCTCCATAGAGAACCTTTTCTGCCTGTCATCGCCATGACTGATGCTAGACTCCAGAAAAGCAACACACTACGCCTTCTTGGCCTCACGTTTACCACTGACATGATGTGGAACACCTATATCGAATCAATACCTTCACCTATTACAAGGAAAGTTGGGTTACTGTGTCATGCCAGAAAATTTTTCTCGTCAGAATCCATCTTGCACATCTACAAATCTACCGTTGGTCCGTGCATTGGTTATTGCTGCCATATCTGGTCGGCTGCCATTGTTATTCATCTCGAGGTTCTTGAAAAAATTCAAAGAAGGATCTGTGATGTAATCAATCCAGACCATGCATCTCGACTTCAGTCACTTTCCCACCAACGTGACGTGGCTTTCCTCTGTCTTTTCTAGAAATATTTCCATGGCAATTGCTCTGGCGAGCTTTTTTTTTCCCTGGTACCCCAACAACATAAATTTAAGCGTGCAACTTGATTGGCAACTAAGACCCACGATTTTACTGTTGAAATAACTTCTACTCCAGCAATTTCTTTTCTCGCACTTCCAACTTGTGGAACTCTCTTCCGTTTCCTTGCTTGCCTGATAACTACTATCTCCAAAAGTTTAAATGCAACGTCAATCGCCATCTTCTGTCTTCTTGAACCCCCGTTGATCTTTTTTACTCTACTCAATCCACCCTATTCTCAGTCTTCTCTTTTTACTTTCATTCCCTGTAACCCTCTGCGTACTAGCGACATTTCCACATTGCTTGGGGTGAAATGATTTTTTAAAATCCTAATATGATATAGATATGTGTTTAGTTAAAGATATCGAGTGAATAAAGTCTCTTTAATCATATCAACTCGATGTTACTGCGGGATTTTGCAAGGTGACTCTGGTTACAAGGAATGTAGATCATGTGTTTTGAGAGCGTGTGTTTATATATAAAAAAAAAAAGAAATGGAAAGTATTAACAGGTGACATAAGTATTCGTCTTTTTCAAATATTTTTTTGCGTCGAGGTTTGGTTTCTGGAATGATGACACTTGTTTGGATTACGTGGTGTCAAACACGAAATCCTTTTCCAGCTGAAGAAAGTAAGCAGGGGGTGCTGAAAAGTTTTCGTTCCGCCCCTCTTCTCAAGATCCTACCTACCAAATATCAAACAACAGGTTTTGCCTATTTGCTTGTCTTATTTGATAACTTTTTACCACAAACTTGTAAGTAGATTGTTGATTTTCTAAACGTAGCTTAGATGCGGCACAATGTGGGTACCCAGTGAGAATTGAACTCACTATTCAGTCGTAATTGTTCTAACGAGACAAGCTCGTTAACCATTGCACCACGTCGGGATGCTGAGACTTGCAAGCCTCCATTTCTTCTTCTACTTCTACTTCTTCTTGTTCTTTTACGTGCCGTGTCCTTCCAGGACATGGGCGATGATGGCTTTCCCCAACTTCCCGTCCCTTAAAGCTCTAAGCAACGTTTAATTCCCCGTTTGCAACTTTTTAAAACTCTTGAAGTTCGGCGGGAATAAATGGTTCTCATGTCCTCCCACTCTCTCTTTCTATCTAGATCTCTCTGTCTTTCTCTCTATATCTCTCTGTTTCTATCTCACTCACACTCTCTCTGTCTTTCTATCTCTCTGTCGTCCCTCTCACTCGCTGACTTTCTATCTCTCTCACCCTTTAGTCTTTTTATCTATGTTTTTTTCTCTCTCTTTCTATCTTGTTCTCGCTGCCTTGTCTTTTTCTCTCACTCTGTTTCTCTCTCACACTCTCTCTATCTTTCTATCTATCTCCTTCTTTCTTTCTCTCTCTCTCTCTATCGCTGTCGTTTTCTCTCTCTCTCTCTCTCTCTCTCTGTCTTTCTACCTCTCTCACGCTCTCTGTCTATCTCTCTCTGCTTTTCACTCTCTCGCTTTCTCTCTCGCTCTTTCTCTCTCTGTCTTTCTATCTCTCTCTTTCTGTCTTTCTCTCTCTCTCTCTCTGTCTTTCTACCTCTCTCACGCTCTCTGTCTATCTCTCTCTGCTTTTCACTCTCTCGCTCTTTCTCTCTCTGTCTTTCTATCTCTCTCTTTCTGTCTTTCTCTCTCTCTCTCTCTGTGTCGTTCTATCTCTCTTACTCTCTCTGTCTTTTTATCTCTCTGTTTTTTCTCTCTCTCTCTTTCTATCACACTCTCTCTGTATTTGTCTCTCTCTCTTTCTCTCACTTTATTTTTCTATCTATCTATCTATCTATCTATCTATCTATCTATCTATCTATCTTTCTTTCTTTTTATTTTTCTACCTTTCTTCCTCGAATACTTTGCTTGCATAAGATTTTCCGACTTTCTTTTTTCATCCTCATGATTTTCTTTCAACTCTCTCTCTCTCTCTATCACTCTGTCTCTCTCTCTCTCTCTCATTCACTCACCTGCTATTCTTTCTCTTTTGTTTTCTTCTCCCCTCTCATTATACTTTCCTTCCTCTTCGTACTCACTCTCTGTTTTCTTTTTCACTTATCTATCTCTGCTTTCGTTCGCTCATTCTCTTAGAAATCTTTCTCCTTTTTTCTCCTTTTTTTTCTTCTTCCTTTCTTTTGGCTTTATTGCTTTTCTCTTTCTTTATCAATCCCCCTCTCTCTCGAAAAATATTCCCTTTCTCTCCCTCTTTTTCACCCCTTTCCTTTTAGCTTAATCACCCTTTATTTTCCTTTCTGTGTTTATTATTTCATCCGTAGTCACCATTCCCTATTTTTCCACCTTCTCTCTCTTTTCTCCTTAAACTCACTTTCCTCATCCTACTCCCCGCCTTTCTAAAACGATTTACAACTTACTCTCTCTTCGCCATTGCGCCCCTCACCATTTTCACTTCCTATTGCTTTTCTTTCTTCTCCATCTCACCTTTCTTCACATTCTGATATTAACCTTTTTTCTCTCGTCTTTCTACCGTGTCACTTGTTTTACACTTTCTTTCAAATCTCTTCTTTTCCTTTTTCTTTACCTTCTCTCTCTCTCTCTCTCTCTCTCTCTCTCTCTCTCTCTCTCTCTCTCTCTGTGTGTGTGTGTTTTTCCACACAATTCTCTCGTTTAGGATTTCTTTCTTTCTTTCTTTTCGTTTAGGATTTCTTTCATTATCTCCCTTTTTATTTCCCCCTTTCATTTTCCATCTTCCTTTCTTTCTGTCCCTATTTTTTTCATCTTTCGTTCTGCCTCCTCCGTTTTCCCCTCTTTCCCCCTCTCTCTCTCTCTATCTATCTATCTATCTCTCTCCTCTTTTCTCTCTTTCCTACTCTTATTCCTCTTGCTTTCTTCTCTTTCCTTTTTGCTCTTTCCTTCTAAACTTTTCCTTTCTTCTTCTTTGTTAACCCACTTTCTTGAAACTTCAAATGTACGCGTCGTCTCTCCTTGAATTAGAAATGCCACAAATCATACTAACGCTGGTTTTAAAAATCGAATGCATGGGAAACATGATTGACCAATGAAAAGCAAGCAACACAAAAGTAATAATGCCAGCATGTATTTATTTATATTATCTTTCCTTATCTTATTCTGTAATGAAGCTTTAATAAAAGTGAAACATGTTAGATTGATAAACGTTTCTTACTTGTTCTTTATCCTGCCATAATCCTCTTTCTTTTTTCTTTATTTCTTCTGTCTTTCTGTCATTTGTATTCCTTCTTCTCACTTTCTTAGGTTATACCTCTTTTTTTCACCCTTTTCCTCTTTTCCTTGTGCCTCTCCGTTTACCCTTGTTTTTTTCTTTCTTCTTTTTGCTATCGCTTTTCCCTCTATATATCTGCCTGTTCTTTTCCTTCTTTGTTTATGCCCCTCCGCATTTCATTCTCTCCGTTTTTCCTCTTTTCTTCTCTCCCCATTTTCTTCTTTCCTTCTGCCTCCTCCTTTTACTCTTTTATTCTCTACCTTGTTTCCTTCTTGCTCTCTTTCCTTTTTTTTCCTTCCTTCTGCTTTCTCGTTTCCCGTTGTCCTTCTGTCTCTTCTCTCTATTCCTTCCTTCTTTCCTTCCTCCCTTCCTTCCTTCCTTCCTTCCTTCCTTCCTTCCTTTCCTTCCTTCCTTCCTCCCTTCCTTCCTTCCTTCCTTCCTTCCTACCTCCTTTCCTTCCTTCCTTCCTTCCTTCCTTCATTCCTTCCTTCCTTCCTTCCTCCTCCCTCCCTCCTTTCGTCCCTTCCTTCCTTCCTTCCTTCCTTCATCCCTTCCTTCCTTCCTTCCTTCCTTCCTTCCTTCCTTCCTTCCTTCCTTCCTTCCTTTCTCCTTCCTTCCTCCGTTCCTTCCTTCCTTCCTTCTTTTCCTTCCTTCCTTCCTCCTTCCTTCCTTCCTTCCTTCCTTCCTTCCTTCCTTCCTTCCTTCCTTCCTTCCTCCTTCCTTCCTCCTTCCTTCCTCCTTCCTCCCTTCCTTCCTTCCATCCTTCCTTCCTTATGTCTCCCCTTTTTCCCGTTTCCTTTTCTCACAGTTTCTTTGCTTTCTTCCCTATTTTTTTTTGCTTTTTCCTTCTATCTCCTCTGCGATATTCCTTTTGCCTCCTTCTCTTCCTCTTTCTTTCTCTCTCCTCTTGCCTTCTTCCTTTCCACTTCTTTTGCACCTCTTCCTACCTTTTCCTTCTCTTTCTCCTCCTCCTCCTCCTCATCCTTTCTTCCTCTTTGCTCCTGCAGCCACACTTTTCCAATCTTTCCATGTTCTTAACTCTGATGTTTACTATTTTGATTACATCCAAAGTCTTGTTTATAAGCAAGCATAAGCAAAAAGAAAATAAATAAATAAATAAAAAAAAAACAAATAAAAATAAAAAATATGTTTGCGTTACGCAACACCAATTCTGAACACCCCCATTTATTTATTCATTCATTTTGCTTTCTGCTCCTCTCTCTCAGTCTCTCTCTCTCTCAGTCTCAGCCTCTCTCTCTCTCTTTCTCTCTCTCTTCACTTAATAACATTTTGAGGGAAATTTATATATATATATATATATATATATATATATATATATATATATACAAACATTTACATAACAGGAACAAGAGAATGAAGGAAGAGAGGGGAGACAAAGTTATGTATCATGAGTGAACGGATGGTAGAAAATAAAAATTGGATATGATGGGGATTGAACTAGATGGGGGAGGGTATAATATATGTGACGATCATAGCGTTAATACACAGAAAGCACTTGTAGTGGTAAAGACTGGTGGTCTAGCACGTTTAATCGGACGACATCTTTTTCTATCATTTCTTTCTTTTTTGTGTGGTTAATACTTTCCCCTGTTTTCCTCTTGCCGCTATAATTCATTCCGTTCATTTCTTCCTTTCCTCTTTTTCTCTCTCTCTCTCTCTCTCTCTCTCTCTCTCTCTCTGTCTCTTTGCTCTCCGTTCCCTAACGAATCCCTTCGCCCTTCCCACAGTCGTCTTCTTGCCCGCATCCAACGAATATGATTCACTCCCGACTACCTCTTGCAAGTACATGACATTTTTTCTGAGACTTGTTTGTATCTTCCGAACGTCACGACACCAATCCCTTCCAGGCTATTCGGCGCATTGCGATGGCATCAGAATACATCGCTAGCTCTTCTGAACAATTATTCCTTCCCTCTCTCTCTTTCTCTCTCTCTCTCTCTCTTCTTCTTCTTCTTCTTCTTCTTTTTCTTCGTCTTTTCCTTCTCCTCCTCCTCCTTCTTCTTCTCCTCCTCCTCCTTCTTCTTCTTCTCCTCCTCTTCCTCCTTCTTCTTCTTCTTTTTCTTCTTCTTCTTCTTTTTCTTCACCTTCTTCTTCTCCTCCTCCTCCTCCTTCTTCTTCTCTTTCTTCTCCGCCTCCTCCTCCTTCTTCTTCTCCTCCTCCTCCTCCTTCTTCTTCTTCTTCTTCTCTTTCTTCTCCGCCTCCTCCTTCTTCTTCTTCTCCTCCTCTTCCTCCTTCTTCTTTTTCTTCTTTTTCTTCACCTTCTTCTTCTTCTTCTTCTTCTTTTTCTTCTTCTTCTTCTTCTTCCTGCTTTACCCGATATACTTCTGTCTACTGCCACCCTTACACCTTTTTTTTACTTTTCCGTTTTCCTCTTTGTCTCTTTTTTGTATACCTCTCCTATCCTCTTCATTTGCCTCCCTTTTCTCCTACTCTTCATACATAGAACCTCCTACTAACACCTTATCTATCATAATTACATTTTCTCTTTCTTTCTATCTCTCACCTTTTCTTTTCCTCTTCTTTTCCTCTTCTTTCCTTTTGACTCAACTTTTCTTTTCCTTGCTCTCCTGTACTTTTTATTGTCTATAACCGGTTCATCTTCTGTCTGCTTCTTTTTTTCTTTTCACTTCTTTATTTTTCTCTTCTTATGCTATCTTTTCTCTTCATACTTCTTTCTCCACTTCTATTTTTCTTCCTCTCCTTGTACTTTCCATAATATACTTGCTTTACTTCATTTTCCTTTCTTTCTTATTCTTCTCATTCTCTTTAATCTTTTGCATCTTTAACAATCTCTCTTCGCTCTCCCACCCCCCTTTCTCTTTACTTTATTTTTCTTCTATATTGTCTTTAGTCCACACTTTGCTTTTTTTTTTTTTTTTGTTTACTTTCTCTTTCTTTTTCTTTTTCTTTCTCTTTTACCATTTCCTCACTTAACTTTCCCCGTCATTTTTCTTACCATCTTCAGACTTGCCTCGGTCTTATTCTTCTTTACTTGCATGTTACGCTCTCTTTTTTTTTTTTCTTTCTTTCTTTTCTTTCTTTCTTTCTTTCTTACTAATCTTTCCTTTTCGTCTCCACTTTCTACTTTCTCTTCTTATTCATTACAATTTTCCTTTCTTTCATTATTTTCCTCTATGCCTGCTCAAGTTTCACTTTTTATTCTCACTTTGATTTTCATTTGATTTCTCTTACTTCCTCTCGCCTGCCTTTTTCTATTCCTCTTTATTTCCTTACACTTTCTTTTACTTTACACATTTTCCTTTCTTTTCTTTACTCTTTCTTTCCTTTTATAACCTGCCTTTCTTTCTTTCTTTCTTTTAATTTAAACTTTCCTTTCTTTTTTACTTGGCTTGCTTTCGTTTTATTTATTTATTTACTTACCTTCTTTCTTTCTTTCTTTCTTTCTTTCTTTTATTCTGCCCTGTCTTACCTTTCTTACCATTATTTCTTCCTTTTACTTTCTTTCGTACATTTCTTTCTTTCTTTATTTATTTATTTATTTATTTATTCCTTTCTTTCTTTCTCTCTTTTCTTATCTTTCTCTCTTCCTTTCTTTCTTTTACTTTATGCTATCTCTCCAACCGTTTTTACCTTTTTCTTTCTTTCTTTTATTTTCTTTCTTGGATTCCTTTCTTTCTTTCTTTCTGTTTTATTTTACCCTATCATTCCTTTCTTACCTTTCTTTCTTCATTTCTTTCTTTCCTTTTCTTTCTTTCTTTCTTTCTTTCTTTCTTTCTTTCTTTCTTTCTTTCTTTCTTTCTTTCTTTCTTCCCAACCCTTCATCTTTTTTATTTCTTTTGCCCTTCCTCTCATTGTATGATATGTCATTAGTCTGAGTACATTTCTCATCTATTCATATTTCCTTCCTTTGTCACACCCTGGCGTGTTTTCTGTCTTTTATTCTTTCTTCAATCCCCCCCTCTCTCTCTCTCTCTCTCTCTCTCTCTCTCATTTTCTGTTACTTTTCAATTTTTCCCCTTTTCTCCACACTCTCTTTACTCTTCTGTATCTTTCTCTATCTTTTTCCCCTTTCTCTCTCTACCCTATTTTCCTCCTAGAATCTTTTTAGTCCACTCTCAGCCCTATTTACTTGTTTTACTTTATCTTCTATGTTCTCTTCTTTCTTTTTCACCCTACTCACTTTACCTTTGTTCTTTCTCTTTTT